CTTTCACAGAGCTTACACTTACTCTTATTATTTAATCTTTTTCTATTTACAAACAGACCTAGCTACACTAATATGAGCAATTTAACATCTATAACATTAAATACAAATTCGGGGTGTACTAATTTTTATTGGGCTTAAAAAGTTCAATTAGGTTTCATTTACATAGTGCCCCTTCACAACTAAAGATGTGTGACTGTGCTTTATATTGTAAGGTAAAGACCCTACAATAAGAAAGACAGAACCGCAGTGAACAGATGATGCCCTCTGAGCAAGCACGTGGTGACGGTGGGAAGCGAGATTTTCTTACGTTTTATTCATCCAGCTGCAGGAACCCATAATTAAAGTAAATGGATCTCAGCTATCCTTACATTTGTGCTTTTACCTATTGTGACACATCAAAATGCTTTCTGTGAAAACCGCCTGCGACTACTTTTCAAGAAAATGTTGAGCTTTCTTTAATGTCCGCCTACTCTACATGGCAGTTACCTTTTTGTCAGTCAGTTTTACTTAAATTATTTTTAGCACTGTCATCCTGCGAGACGAGGTAGTACAGTATGATGGCAAAATGCGTAGTTTAACAGGGGAAGACAGCTGTAAGTAAAAGAGAAAGCTGGTTTAGTCCAAACAAAAATTCCTGTAAATTAACAACTATTTCACACAAAAACAGTCAAACTGACACCACATTGCTGGGATTTCTAACACTGATTTACTGAACATATAATGAACCTGTGTAACCTTTAACTGTATCTGTTACTACGTCTTGAAAAGGTGTTTACAGAAGACCATGCAGTTATTCTAACATTTTTTAAGTTTTATTTCTCTTGGTTCTCCTGCCCTCGCGTCTCTGTGGCCGTCCGCCTACCTCAGCCACACGTCCCTATTTCATCATGTCGCTTACACACCTTAATCAGGCACAGTTCACGCACTTCCTCTGTTGTTCCAGCAGTGGGAAAAGAAAGAAAACCTGCAAAGAACAAAGTCCACGAAGCTGCTCACAAGCGAGAGAGTGCGGTGGCTCTCTGCCCCCGGCTGCAGAAGCTTAGTGAAAGTTACTGACGTGACACTTGACATCGTCTAAGCTCAGGACCGTTCCCTGGTCATTGTTGTTGTTATGCTTGTGCTTCTTATCGGAGCAGCGGCACAGTTTGTACTTCATTACCTGAGGGGATGAAAAGCACAGTCGCAGCAAGGTCGGTGCAGGAAAAGAAATAAGTCGCATAACGCAACAAGAAATGCTTTTAATTATTTCAATTTTCTAAATATGAGGTGTAAACGCTGCTTCAAAGCCAGAAATAAAACAAAACTGTGTTGTGAAATACGGTCTCCTCTGATCACTCCTACTGATCTAATTATGGTCAGGTTTAAATACATCAAGTCCAAAGCTTTGCATATTAAAAATGACAGACTATATGGCCTCTTAAATGCCTATGTCTTACCTCATAAAGGTAGTCAAATATCTCCAGAATAGTCAGTATACTTGCACCAATAAAAAGTCCCATCTGACCACCAATATCACCTGAAATGAAAGCATATTCATAACAAATGCATGAAGACAAAAAATGTAAGCAGTCTATGTTATATAATTGAAATGAAGCTATACCTAAAAGTCCAGCCACTTCATATGCTTTCTTCTGTTCAATAGTTTCATAATTGAGAGCTTCAAAGAAGATATCTAAAACCAGGATATTTTCCCTGTGGAGACAACATAAACAAATGAAGACACAAATCCCTCATTTTGAAGCTGCTCAATAATAATTAAGAGCACTTGAGAGATGAGATTTGAATGTTTTCTTTGTCAGTGGCTCTGAAAGGACTGGTTCGACGTTTGAAATATGACCCTGACAATGCCATCTAAGTTATCACAACACAGCTTTTGAGACAACCTTTTTCTTCTTCCTTCAGCTTCTGCCTTTGGAGGCCACATCTCACTCTATCCCAACATCCTCCAGCACTTCAAACCTTTGAATGTCCTCCTTCGCTATATCTCATCTGCGCTCTTTCTGTTTTCCTCCTGTCTGACAGCTCTATCTTTAACTTCCTCTGTCCAGTATGTCCACTATCCCTCCTCTGCACATGTCTGAAGCATCTCAACTTTGTCTCTCTAAATTTATCTCCAAACTGTTCAGCCTGATATACTCATTTCTAATCTTCTCCCGGTCCCTCATTCTGAAAATCTTGGCATCTTCAACTCAGCCACCTCCAAAGTTACTCCAGGGTAACTTTGTCTCCAAACTGATTCCCGATCCTCTCCATCCTGGTCGCTCCTGTTGTCTCAACACTGGGTTTAATACAGTTTTAATCTACTCCTAGCTAGATTTCAGTGTGATAATGGGGTAATCTTGGGCACATAGCTCTTGCTGTGAAGGCAGAAGCCCCACCTACTTACTGTCTGTCTGTACAGAAATATGATCAGAAAATATCAAAATGCACAAAAGATGGTATAAGTTGATGAAAACTGAATCAAAGCAGTTTGGTATTAGATTTTATTTCACCCCTTAAAACCATTTAGAAAGTCATCAGTCAGCACACGTTTCTATTTATGATGGCCTCTCAGGTTGGGTTTTTCTTCCTTTTTCTTTTATTTGAGAGGGAAACTAAAAATGTTTAGCTTCTGGACACAATTAAACTAAATGAATATCTTGAAAGAACACATTGGGCCTTTGAAAATGCCCCTTTTTTATATTTTGTTAGTGAAAGTCAATGAAATACAATAATCCTGTAATAAAAGAATTATTCATCGCAGGCTTTGCTTTGCGCACACAATAATGAGAAAACCCAAACATACTTACTTAATGTACTGCTCAGATTTGTTGTATTTTTTTGCAAGATATTTAGCAGAGGCCTTGCTGGGGATCTTGACAAAAGACAGCTCTTTGCTGTATCTGGTCATGTTGCACGGCGTCTCACACACACAGAAATCGTTGTCTCTTTCCACCAGGAAATCTGGAGAGAGGAAAACCAGAGCTCAGCTTGACCTTTGAATCAGTGCGACTGCGACTTCAAGATGTCACGAGCTGATGTGCCTGCATCTGTGTGTGCGTGTGTGTCTTTCTGATGTTTTTGGGGTATAAATCTGTGCATTCTCCTTTTTTGGGGGGAACTAATATCATAAAGACATATTAAGGTAATATCAGGTTTTGGTTAAATGTGCAGGAAATAAATGTGATGTCCTGTGAAGCGATGCAAACATGGCTCTGTTTGTGCGTGTGTTACTGTTCTTTAAAGATTTAGAGGAGTATGAAGCCTCTTTCTTACCCAGAGCTGGGTCAGCACATTCTTTGTACAGCTCGGGGGTGCAGTAGGGGGCATCGCCTGTAGCAGCAGCAGCAACACACACTCACGTTAATGAATTTTTTCTTTGATTTCCTTCTTTGAAGTGCCTTCAGTAATTTCTCAGATCGGCGTAAGTCTGATACAACACAGAGAAAGACCGGACGCCTACCAGGCATGTGCACCATGCGACAGTTGCAGTTGTCCACCAGGTAGCGCGTTTCGCAGTCAATGCGACAGGCTGTGATGCTGTAAGTGTCAAAGAAGTCCGACTCCATTGGCGTCACCTTGCAGTCTCCCCAGGGTGGGGGGAGATATATCAGCTGCAATGACCACATAACGACTTAATAGTGTTTTAAATAAGAAATAAATACCGCATGAAATAAAAAGCAGGCTTCTCCTCGCAGGGAAAAGCAAGAACTAAACAACTGAATCCATTTTTTTTTAAAAATTCTACAACTGCATAAATGGGAGAGAGATTTAAAATGTCTGATGTGACCCGCGGATAATTCTAATCTATTATTCAGAGCTATGGATGTGATTTTTTTATTAGGAATAATAAAGTAAAACACTCATTTAGTTTAAAAAAAGAGATTTTAAAGAGGCTCCAGTTTAACTTTGTTCAGTCGAAGAAAAGGGAAAGTGAAAACTATAAACATCTGCCATAATTCACAGAAATTTTTTTTTACCAGCTGTGGCTATTATTTTCAATTTCATATTCATATCAGTGTTGAAACTAAAGTATTTCTGGTTCTTCAAATGTTTGATTTTAGATTTATAAATAGGTCTCACAAGGGAAATCTTTGTCCTACAGCAACATGATAAAGAGTAAAAATAGCACAGCCTACAATAAACAACGCAGTCAAATAAAAAGTGCCACAGAAGCCCAGTAAGTGCCTTATACTGTGAGATGCAACAGAAACTAAACAAAACAGAAAGGTCAAAATAAAGTTAGTTAAAACCACTAAAAGTATGACTGACATTGTGTAAAAGTGATTTTATCCAAACAAAACACTGAAAAGGATCCAAAGACGCATTCTTGGTTTGTGTGTACTTTTATTTTTAATTATAGGACAAAATGTGTCTGATTGAAAGCTGATTAGTGAATCAATGAATCAATCAAATGGCAAGAAATCAGTTGGTAACCAAACGGTTTCAATCATTTGAAACCAGATTATTTCATGTCTGTTCCTCATATGGAACCTTGCTTTGCTTTGTTATAGTGAATTATTAATTGTTCAGATCTCTGAACTCTTCCTTTGCCGAGTATGATAACGTAATAATTGATAAGAATTAATAAGCAACAGTTTGTACCCTCTGTTCCTGACAGGAAACAAATGTCTGGAACCCGGGTGCCACTCCGAATCCGAGCTGGTCAATGAAGGACGGCTCGTCCTGACTGTGGATCTGAACTTTGACCCCCGCTTCAAACGAAGTCTCATCTGCAGGAAAGCAAAACGTTTGGGATCACTGTAAAAATGAGTTTCACTAAGGATCCAAACACGCAGAAGAGTTTCAGGCTCTGAGGTATCGACGCCCACAAACACCAACAAATCAATCGCACCAGTGTGACAGACAGCTATAACCTGCCACGTGAATGGGCTTCTTCTCACCTGTTTCTCCCCAGACTGGCAGGTATTCATCCTGCTGAATGTCCAGCATGAGCTCGAGGCCGTTGCCCATACCTCCCTTGGTGGTGATGAGGGGAGTGCGCCCATCACCGCCAGCGTTAAAGGTGTAACACTTCCCATAGCGAGTGAAGACCTGAGTGACACAGGAAAGATATATAATTTTTTAAGCAGTTAGAGAAATGTTTCTGAGAGAAGGATTCAGGTCAATTTTGTCACAACCACACAATATTACTGGAATATACAACTGAATGGAAAATTATGGGGTATTCCACTGCACTCATTTTCCTTAAAAAAACAACAACAACAACAAAACAAAACAAAAAAAGGGTATTAAATGGAAACCCGATCTGTCTGCACAGTTGTGGGATGCTGGAAAAAAATGAGAGCCTGGAACATATAAGACTTCCACTGAGCGCTCAGAGGACAACAAGGGTTAAAAGCGGATCACCTTCTTACGTGGTGTAAACCACCAGCGCAGATGGCTCACCAACAAAAGAAAAGACAAGAATCTATACACAGCATCAAAAACGCTAACTCGTCGTCAGGTCATGTGTGATATCTCTAGGGAAATGTTGGCCAGTTCTAAGATGCTGCAGAGCAAACTGAACAGGCACCTGGCAACCAAGACTCTCTTTAGAGGAGAAACTTCAAAAACAGTCCTGGCTCTGAACCAGAGACTACAACCTACCCAGCAGTCTAAACAGTGCAGGCAGTGTAGGCTAGCAGATTTGAATCCCAATCCCACTTCTCGTGTCACAGCAAGAAGGCCCTCAGTGAACATGCTACACCTAAATATCGGATGAAAACCTTTGACTGTCTAGAGATTTGCACAAATAGGTTCACTTTGGCACCCAGTGTGGTCTCCTGCTGCTGCAGCCCATCTGCTTCAAGGTTTAACATGTCACACATTCAAAGATGTGCATACTTTGTTTGTGACGAGCGCAAGCAGTCAGGCCATTCTACTCTGACCTCTGACATCAGGAAGGCATTTATGCCTGCTGCTCACTGTATATTTTCTGTTTTGGATTAGCTTCTGTAAACTCTAGGGATGGCTACGCTGGAAAATCCTAGTAGATCAGCAGTTTCTGAAATTCTCAGATGACTCCATCTGGCACTGACCACCGGGCCACACTCAAAGTCACTTAAATCACTTTTCTTCCCCATTTACTTTGGGCACCTTGACCATGTTTACGTAGATATGCTGCCAAAGGATTGGCTGATTGAGAAGGAGCAGTCTAAGGAGGAGATGAATAGGTGTGCCCAATAAAGTGGACAGTGTGCCATAAATGGCTTAATATACAGCTTGGTGTGAATTAGAAGTGTTTATGTGATCTATTAAACTCTACCATCTAGACCTCTAATCAACAGCAGAAAACCAGCAGTCAGTCTGCAAACAGTGTTTTGCAGACATTTGGTGCTTGGGAAGAGACTGTGGGACTGTGTGAAAAGTGTCTGATAATGTGATGGAGGCAAGGTAAATGCTATTGAAGTGTCGACATTCTTGGAAATAAAATTGCTGGTGTTGTGCCTGATCCATTGCCTTTATTTGACAATGCAATCCAAAGAAAACCTTATGATGTAAAGGCTATTTTATGCAGATATGAATTGAGATGTACAGCCTCGTCTTTCTTGCTGGTGTGCCTTGGACAGTAAAACTTGTGTCAGAGGATTTGAGAGTGTTTTTCCACTGGGGGTCAGTGTTTGACTCGGTAAATGGTGTGTGTGTGTGTGTGTGTGTGTGTGTGTGTGTGTGTGTGTGTGTGTGTGTGTGTGTGTGACTGTATGACTGAAATAGTATGAGAGGAAAGGAGAGAGGCAAATGTGTGACAGAAAGCGGAGAAAGAAGGAGAGTGGAAGAGAACGAGGGAGAAAGGAGGTTTTCCCGTGGGAGTGTGAGTTACACAATCAACCCAGTGAGGTGATGGAGACTGGCAGACTGGCGATTTAACATTCCCTCACATGCTCTTTATGGCACTTATAATGGACCTGATGTTACCATGGAGACCAAGCATCCCGACAAGGAAGAATACCGCCTTAATTTTAAAGGAAAGCCGAGACACAGACGTTAGACTGAACCTCTGTGAGACATCAGCAAAAGGCCATTTGACAAACAGCCTCGAGCGTGCGACGGTGAACAGACAGAAGCGTAACAATATTGAGCTTTCTTCGGCGCGGAGTTAATGTTGTATTAGTTTTTAGTGTTGTGTGAGTCACATAACCCATGCAGGGAGAGAGCAGGAGAGCAAGGAGCAATGGAGGAGCGAAGGAGGGCAGGGATGCAAAGTGAAAGAGACAGAGAGGAGGGGGGGGGGGATTTAGCTGCTAACGCTTGAAGCTGGCTATTGTTCAGCATTATAGCACAGAATGACATATCTATGATTAGAAAGAACAAACCAAGCAAGTAATTGTAGAGAAAGAGTTGGGATCTTGCCGAGGGCAGTTTAAACATTTAGGCCATCTATCACGTCAAGTCAGCGAGAGACTGCTGCTGGTTGCAGAAGCAGACATCAATCTGAGTGGGAGAAAAAAACAAAACAAAACACAAAAAGATTCTGCACAAAAAAAGCAAATAAAAGCAACAAAATAATGTGTGTCCACACCTTTAGAATTTTTCTGTCATATGCTGCAGGCTTAAATAAAAACTGATGAGGGTAAAGACGCACTTGTTACTTTTAGAGACTGACATTCCAACATCGACGCCCACCTCACACCACGACGGGCCAGATGTGCGGAGGTGAGTTGTGAACACCCAAGTGCCACAGTATGAACGGCTTCCACATGAGGCTGTCTAAAAATGGGCACCTAAATTTCCATATTTACCTTCAAAACAAGCAACAGCTGGCCAGTGGGTTGGTTGTTTAAAGAAAAACAAAAGTTTTAAATTCTGGTGTATATTTCAAAGTCTTTGAAGTTACTTATAAATATGTCAGTCTTAGTTGTGGAAGTTGTCTCTTAGTGTAGATTTACCGAGGTGTTGGGTCTACTTTTATGCCACATATTAACAGTTACAATGCTCATCTTTAAGGGCATATAATCCTTGTCAACCTAAAGTTTGGGCTTCATAATGCTCTAAACACTCAAATTCAGTCAGATTGTTCAATTCGCTGCTTTGTATGATGCCAAAGGAAAGGCGAAATCTCAAGCAAACAGCTCTGACTGTAAGCACAGCACCTGCTGTTCAATTCTTCCCTTTCTGCGGCGCAGCCAATGATTAGAGAGTTTGCCTAAAGGTCCTCGTTGTAGACCCCTGTGTTTAAAAATAGTTTAAATCCCTCTAAACTAACTAAACATATCGATAACATTTAAAGAAACAACACCTATGACTTCATGTGCTGAACATTTATGTATCGTGTTGACAAGATAACAAGTGAAGGTAAATTAGAGATGAGCTGTACTTTTGTGTAATACCAATCTTTTTTAACCACAAGATGATGCAGAACGTTAACCAGGTAAGAAATTAATAACACGTTCTTATTTAAAATAGGCCACATTATGGAAGTTTGTTTATGCCACTAAAAATATTATTTTTTCTTTTGCCATCCTTAAGTCAAAGTTTCAGAAAGAACAGCAGCACACATCTGAAAACTATTACACACATGAACTGGTAAAATGCTGCCTCCTAGTGGTTTTTGTTAAAATCTTCACAGGGTAACTACAAAAGTAACTTTTAGAACAAGCTGGCAATCTCAAACCTTTCATCTTGAATGTGTGTGTGTGTGTGTGTGTGTGTGTGTGTGTGTGTGTGTGTGTGTGTGTTTTTAAAGGGAATCCATCCAACATTTGTTGGGATATTTGACCCACAGTCTCAAAAGTTAATTTAATAATGCTGCATGAAAAACCGAGAGAACATCAAAATCAGCAGGAATCCTGTGGGGATTTTAAAAGTTTCATTGCAATATTTCTGATAAATGTTGAAGTATTTCAGTTAGGATTAAAGTGAACCAACTGACAGACCAACACCATCCTTTGAGCCCTGGTGTCACCGCAGGTAGAAATCATCCAGTAAACATAGCACTACCCAGCCTCTCTTTTCCCCATTTACTCCCAGCCTTCTGTAATTGCTCTTTGCTGCACACTATTGATCACAGGTACACACTGTGGACCCTGACAGATTGTCAAACATGTGTAAGAGTGGAAAGGCTCTTTCAGATCATAAGGTGACTGAATTTCATAAATAAAATCAATCATGACAAAAATGTTAAACCCGTGTGTATGACAGGTGCACGATTGTTCATAGGCGGCTCGATCAATACGCAGATCTGAGTTGATGTCAGGTAACCGGTGTTCTTTTCCTCTGGTTGAATAGTTGTGACAGAGGTGGTAGGAATAAAAACATGAACCATGTATAATGCACAAAGTCTGCATGGCACACTGTTATGATGAATAAATAAATGATCGTGCACATGTGTAAAAGGTTTTCTGCAGCAGAAATTATACGCTGCATGAGGAATAATGAGTGTTACAACAGAGAAGGACTTTAATTATGACAGATGCATGACTGTCACACCCTTTTGTCACTACTTAGAGGTACTTCAAACAACAAATCAATGCCCTTTTTTCCACAGAATTGAATGCATTACTTACCAACTGCAGTTTACACACACACTATCTTCACAGCTCTGATCAATAAAACTGTCACTCACACACAATTTCCCATGTATTGAAAAGCACTCAACAGAGCTCTGCAGTAATTAATCATTATGCACATAATCATGAATATCTGTTTCTATAGCCATCAAAAGTTGAAGGAATCTCTAAATCGCAAATCCCTGCTCTTTGCCATCCATTTAGGGAGGTCTTAATACAGTCTTGCAGTCTACAAGCAGCTAAAAGACGTCTCGACAGGCTAAGTTCAATCCATTAGTGCTCTGTTGTTTTATGGGGATGTTTTCAAAGACTTTAAAGCCATCTCTGTAAAGTGCAAACACTTTCACTGTTATTATGCTGTTATAGCCACCACTGGGGAAAAAAAGCTATTTAAATGGAATGGTGAGCAGACAGTAGTCCACAGTGACCAGGGCTGAAAAAAATAAAAATTAAAAATTAAAAAACGGAAATCATTCACGGTTATTGCTGCCTATTGTGCATTTACAACATAACTCAGGATTGTAATCTGATGAGGACTTCAGGTGA